GGGAAGGGCACTTCAATCGACAAAAAACAATGTGCACCGGACGCGGGGAATCAACAATAATTATTCTTCAGAAATGAAAGTTCAACAACAACGACAGCAACAACAAGAACGCTTCCGCTTGAGACTTCCTCACTTTTTACCTTGAGCCGGTGCTCTTGCTCGCCGACGAAAGCCGCCGCCCCAACACAACCAACGCTCTCGCTCGAGACTTCTTTCCGTTTTACCTCGGACTGGCGCGCTACTCTCTCTCATCGGCACCGCCCCGCTCCCGCTCGAGAATGCCCCCTTTTTTACTCTGAAACGGTGCTCTTGTTCGCCGCCGAAAACCGCCGCCCAAACAAAACCAGCTCTCCCGCCCAAGATCTCGTCCCGTTTTACGCTGGACTGGCGCCCAATTCTCTTTTCCCCAGCAAAATCAACGCTCCCGTTCGAGGCTTCCTCGCTTTTTCCTGAGGACGGTGCTGTTCCTCGCCGCCGACAGCCCCCGTCCCGACAAAACAGCGGCTCCCGCTCGAGACTTCTTCCTTTCTTACTCAAGGCGGTGTTCCTCCTCGCTGCCGCCAACCGCTGTCCCAACAGAATCAGCGCTCCCGCTCGAGACTTCGTGTTGTTTCACGCTGGACTAGCGCCCTATTCTCTTCAGCATTGGCGCCGCTCCCAGTAACAACAGCGGCCCTGCTTGAGACTTCCTCCCTTTCTATTCAGGGCCAGGTCCTTGCCTCGCCGCCGACAGCCCCCATCCCCACCAAGGCAATCCTGTCGCTCGATACTTCCTTGTGTTTTACCCTTGGCTTGGGCTCCACTGGTGGTCTCGCATCGGCGCAGCCATGCGTTTTCGAAGCGAGATATGTTGAAATTCCTCGGAGGAGGTGTTTGCAACACCTCACTGGGCAGGATATCTGGGAATGGGAATGACGGACCCCGCAATAAAACAGTAGTCCCCCAAGATGGGAATGGTTAGCATGATGGTCGCATGCTTCGTGTGGAAACATCGCGTATGAGGGTGGAACGATTCTTGTTGTTGTTGTTGCTGCTGCTGTTGTTGGTGTGTTGGTGTTGAATTCTCACTTCTGAAGAATAAGTGTTGCTGATGTCCGGAAGCGGTTCCGCGCGCTCTCGCTTCGACGCCGGCTACAGTTTCTCTGAGAACGAAGCTCCCGCTCGAGCGTTAGCTTGAGCCTCAAAATGGGCCCTTGGAAGCCCAGCTGCGACAACAACGTCTCCCGCTCGACAATTCCTCACAATTTACCCCGAGACACCCTGCCCAGACAGGCTCCCGAACTCAAGAATGGCGCTCTCGCTCGAGACTTCATCGCAATTCAATCAAGTTGGCGAAGGCCCATCCACGTCGACGAGGGCTCCTGCTCGATACTTCTTCGCGATTTAATCCGAGAGCCCCTGGTCAAGAAGGCCCCCGAACTCAGGAACGGCGCTCTCGCTCGAGACCTTCTCGTAATTCCGGCAAGTTGGTGGAGGATCGGACAGGGTTCCCATTCGATATTTCTGCACAAGTATTCCGAAAGCCCCTGGCCAAAGAGGCCCCCGAACTCAGGAACGGCGCTCTCGCTCGAGACTTCCTCGCACTTCAGTCAGTGGCAGAGAAAGGAAATATTCCCCCCGAAAGGGGGTGCAATCGAAGACGAAGTGGACGGGTATCGTGGGTTGGGGTATACGGAATGCAAGCCACGCGTGCGTGCCACTAAAAACGCACACATTTAACATTATTGAACCCTCACTACTGAATGATTGGTGGTCTGAATGATTGGTGGTCCCCCTCCGGTGCATATTGTATTTTTCAGTTGAAATGCTCCTCCTGTCGCTCGCACCCTGTTTTTCATTAGGAGAAAATTTCCTCCTCAAACTGCGTTGTTGGCCCCCGGGCTACAACAACAACGGCTGCCGCCTGATACCTCCTCGCAATTTAGCTGCGACCCCCGCTCCCGCCCGAGACACCCCCGCAATTTATTCAGGAGTCGCGCTCTCGCTTGGGGACTCCTTACAATTTATTCAACAATCGCTCTCTCGGCGCTCCGGAATCGCGCTCTCGCTGGAGACTCGCTTGCCAATTGCTCAAGAATAATGCCCTTGCGTTGGAACTCCCCGCCATTTACTCAAGCGCCGCGCTCCCGACACTCAGGCACCCAGGAGTCGCGCTCACGCTGAGGACTCCCTCGCAAATTACTTGGGGATCAGGATCTCGCTGCCCTTTGTGGTCCCGTTGCAGCCCTTCGTGGCCCCCTCGCTGCCCTTCCTGGCCCCGTTGCTGCCCTGAGTGGCCCCGTCCTTGCCCTCCGCGGCCAAATCTACGCATACCCTGCGTGGCCCCCGCTCGTTCGCGCCCGTCGTGGCCCCATGTGCGTGCCCTTCGTGGCCCCGCCGTCGCCCTTTGCGGCCCCCTCGCTTTTCCACGTGGCCCCTTCGTGGTCCCGTTGCAGCTCTTCGTGGCCCCCTCGCTGCCCTTCGTGGCCCCGTTGCAGCCCTTCGTGGCCCCCTCGTTTTTACTTCACGGCCCCGTTGCAGCCCTTCGTGGCTTCGTTGCACCCCTTCGTGGCCCCCTCGCTGCCCTTCGTGGCTCCCTCGCTGCCCGTCGTGGCCCCCTCGCTGCCCTTCGTGGCCCCGTTGCAGCCTCTCGTGGCCCCCTCGCTGCCTTTCGTGGCCCCGTTGTAGCCCTTCGTGGCCCCTTCGCTGCCCTTCGTGGCCCTGTTGCAGCCCTGCGTGGCCCCCGCTCACTCGCGCCCGTTGTGGCCCCGTATGCATGCCCTTCGTGGCCCCGCTGTCGCCCTTCGTGGCTCCCTCGCTGCCCTTTGTTACCCCGTTGCTGCCCTGAGTGGCCCCGTCCTTGCCTTCTGCGGCCCAATGTGCGCATGCCCTGCGTGGCCCCCGCTCGTTCGCGCCCGTCGTGGCCCCATGTGCGTGCCCTTCGTGGCCCTGCCGTCGCCCTTTGCGGCCCCCTCGCTGTCCTGCGTGGCCCAGTTGCTCGCCTCATTGGCCCCGTCGTTGCTTTCTGTGGCCCCGCATTATCTGCCCTTCGTGGCCCCTGCTCGTTCGCGCTGTTCGTGGCCCCATACGCATTCCCTCCGCGCCCCCGCTATCGCCCTTCGTGGCCTACTTCGCGCCCTTCGTGGCCCTGCTGTCGATCTCTCTCTCGGTCTCAATTTCGCTCGTCGTCGACGTCGTCGACGTCGTCGTCGTCGTCGCCGTCGTCGTCGTCGACGTCGTCGTCGTCGTCGTCGTCGCGGGCGGTCCCCTGTCCGTCCCTCTTGGGGTCGGGATGCCGCCGATCAGCGCTGCCGCTGGCCAGGCCGAAGGTCCGCGGCCGCCCCGCCGCTTGCCGGGGCCCCGCCTGCAGGGATGAAAGGTATACCCCCCAAAAGGGGTACGATCGAAGACGAAGAGGGCAAATATCGAGGTCTGTTGGGAAATACGCGTTAACGGACACTCGAGCAGATAAGAGCGAGCAAAATTAAACTGATTGTTGGTCTGATTGTTGTTGTTGTTTTTGTTGTTGCTGTTGTTGTTGTTGTTGTTGATGTTTTTGCTGTCGTTGTTGTTGTTGTTGTTGTTGTTGTTGTTGTTGTTGTCGTCGTCCTCGCCCGCGACCTGCCCGCGACCCACCCGTGACCCCGCTGCGACCCGCCCGCGACTCACTCGCGACCCACCGACCCACCCATCTGCGCCTGCGGCGGGATTTCCCAGAGCCTCGCAGACTGCCGAATCCGCAATTTGAAAGGTACCTGTCCTGGCGAAGGACCCAGCCACCTGCAAATGTGAGCACCGCGTTGTGGCACCGCTTTCGATGGAGCTCTTTATGACCTGCGATCCGTATGAGGGGTCCGTCAACATGGAGCGAAGCCGCCATGCCAACGCAGCCACTGGGGCCTTCGGTGGAGCTCCCTATGGGGCCACCAACCGTATGTGCGCGCCAACGGCGCCGCCATGCGAACCCTGCCACTTGAGCGTTCTGTGGAGCTCCCTGTGAGGCCATGAAGCGTGTGAGGGCTGCGCCAAAATGAGGCGGCGCCGCCATGTGAACCCTGCCGCTGGGGCCTTCGGTGGAACTCCACATGGGGCCGCGAGCCGTGTGGGGGGTTCGCCAAAACGAGGCGGCGCCGCCATGTGAACCCTGCCGCTGGGCCCTTCGGTGGAGCTCCCAATGGGGCAGCGAACCGTGTGAGGGGAACGCCGAAATGGTTCGTCGCCGCAAACCGAACACTGCCACTGTGGCCTTCGGTGGAGCTCCCGATGGGGCAATCAATCGTGTGAGGGCTGCGCCAAAATGGGGCGGCGCCGCCATGCGAACCCTGCCTCTGGGGCCTTCGATGGAGCTCCCTATGTGGCTGCCAACCGAGTGAAGGGCGCGCCAAACTGGAGCGGCGCCGTCATGCGAGCCCTGCCACTGGAGCGTTTGGTGGAACTCCCCACAGGGGTCACGAACCGTTTGAGGGGTGTGCCGAAATGGGGCGGCGCCGCCATGCGAACCCTGCCCATGAGGCCTTCAGTGAAGCTTGGAGCTCTCTTTGGGGCCACAAGCCCTGTGAGTGGTGTGCCGAAATGGGGCGGCGCCGCCATGCGAACCCTGCCCATGGGGCCTTCGATGGAGCTCCCCATGGGGCCACGAAACGAGTGAGGGCTGTGCCGAAACAGGGACACGCGGAGGGCAGAGGCAGGGATGGGAGGGCGGAGGAGGGAGCGGGAGGAGGTGGGAGGAGCGTGGGGCGCGTCTCTTCAAAACGAGGACCACAAGATGGTTGAGGAAAATCTGCATGAGCATAAACTTTCGGAGCTCCACGCCGATGTCTTGGATCTCGCACCCCCCCATCGCCGATCCGAGAAATCCGCGCGGAGCGTCGAAAATTTATGCTGATACCGTTTTGTCTTCTTCGATCAACTGCGGCGGCCATGGATTCGGCGCCCTGCCTGCTCCTCGTGCCCGTGCCCGTGCCCAGGATGGCCCCAGCTAGGCGTGGTGGCGGTGCAAAACTGTCCCCCCCGCGGAGGTCCGCTCGTGCCCGGGCGGCTGGGCCGCCTCCGCCTGCTCCGCCGCGGCCGCGTCCGAGGCGCGCTTGACCTGGCCGAGCGCGGTGACGATCTCGGCCCGCACGGCCGTGGCGTCCCGGCCCAGGGGGGCGAGCTCCCCTGGAGGGGGGCGAGCAGGTCGTGTAGGGACGGTCGGGGGCGCCTCCGGGGGCCTCGGGTGGGCTCCGGTGGCCCGTCGGGGGACATCTGTTCTGTGATGTTGTCGTTTCCCACACAGTAGGTCTGCAAGGCGGAGAGTTGTCCATACCCGCCGCCTGTGGAACCGACCCCCTGGGACTCCAGCGGGCAGCGGATATTGATACATGCTGGCACCAGGGCGCCCGCATGTATGTATATCCGCCGCCTGTCGGCATGTATATACATGTAGTATGTATGTATGTATGTATGTATGTATGTATGTATGTATGTATGTATGTATGTATGTATGTATGTATGTGTGTGTGTGTATGTTTGTTTGTTTGTTTGTATGTATGTATGTATGTATGTATGTATGTATGTATGTATGTATGTATGTATGTATGTATGTATGTATGTATGTGTGTATGTGTGTATGTATGTATGTATATGTATGTATATGTATGTTTGTATGTATGTATGTATGTATGTATGCATGCATGCATGCATGTATGTATGTATGTATGTATGTATGTATGTTTGTATGTATGTATCCGCCGCCCGAAAATTCATCCCCGGGTCGGTGATTATGCATAAATCCCCGCCTCGGGAAACCCACTCGCTCTCTGGGCGTAGGTGGTCTAGGGAGTTTCCTCTTCCAAACCCCTTCTCCCCTTCGGGAAGGGGCTTACCCCTCCCCCCATACCCCCTCCCCTGGACTTGAAGGGGCGCCCCGCGAGGTGTCAGAAGAAACTGTTTCGCCCAAGATGGCTCCATGGAGGCCTCAGAGAGCCCAAGCTGACCCCCAAGGTGGCTCAAGAAAGCCCAAGATGCCTCAAGTCGGCCCCCAAAAGGCTTCAAGAGGCCCCAATTACGCTCCAAGGCGGCTCCATGACCTTCAAGGAGGCCCCCAAGAAGCCCAAATCCTTCAACAACACATGGGGAATCAAAGATGTTTGCTACCGCAGGATGGCTCCAAGAAGGCCCAAGAGAGCCCCAGGAAGGGCCCAAGAGGGCCACAAGACGGCCCAAGAACGCTCCAAGAGGGGCCCAGGAAACCAGTTTCGGTGCTCCCAAGGGAACAGGCGAATTACAGCTTCCCTCGTTTTTGATCGATGTCTTCCAGGATGGACCCACGAGCGCCCCTGAAGGTCCCAAGAGCGCCCAAAGAAGGCCCCAAAAGGCGCCCAGACGCCCCCAAGAGGCCTCTAAGTGGCGCCCAAGAGACCCCATACGAGGCATCAAGGGGATCCCCGAGGTACCCGACTCTCCCTCCTTCTCCTCCTTCTCGTCCTCGTCCTACTCCACCTCTTCCTCCTCCTCTTCTTCCTCCTCCTCCTCCGACGACGACGATTCCTCCTCCATCCTCTCCCTCTTGGGGTATATGACGGCTTCCTCCGCCGTTTGCATTTCGGCATGTTCCCCCATTTCCCTGAGCACCTCAACTCCCCTGGGCATCGTTTCTGGATGGGCTGGTGGGGCTACTTTTTGATCGCGACCGCGAGCGGACACCCGCGCGGCGTCACAAAGTCGAACAGACAAGCGAGGGGCAGTTACGCGGAACAGGCTACGCGGCACCGCGAGCAAAGCTCGAGGGGGGCTGGTGGGGATACTGTTTGGTCAACGGCGTCGGGAAGCGGGTCAAAAAGGCGTCCAAACTCTAGCCGGGCCACGACTAGGCAGCGGAAAAGCAAGACAGGCGCAGCTAACGGGCGGCAGCTCAGAAAGGCGAAAAAAACCGGTAGACCCATTCCCAGTGGCGTCCGAAAATCCCGGTGGCTACCAGCGAGTAGACGCGACCAAAATCACGTAGAGGTCGATCACTCGTGAGTAGGGACACGCGACGCGTCAACCAATTCTGACTTCATCAAACAAAAACCCCGACCCGCCTCGCAAACGCTGCATACGCGGCCGCCAGTTCCAGACGGCCCAGGTGCTCCCTGTGGATACCGCCTCACGTCGTCGACGAATCACAACTACATGCCGCGGCCGCAAGGCCCCAGGAAGTCTGGTGCTCCCTGGGGATCCCGCCCCGCACTCTTGTGGAATGACGGCTCGAATGAAAATTACCGATGTTTTAGTTGCACATGTTGGTTATCACACGCTACCATAATTACTTAATGTCGGCAAAAAGGGAAGGCAAAAGCGGTGTGCACGTGCCTTGCAAGCATTCCGCCCTGGCCCCGCCAGGGAACTTAGCAGGGCGGTAGGGAGGAACAGGTAAAGCCCAAACCCAAAAGCCTGCGGAAGAGGGAGAAGAGCAAACACAAAGACGTGCCCGTTCCAATTACTCAGCTCCAGGTTTTCACCCTCGAGCGAAACAGATTGTCTCACGCTGCCGTGACTACTGAAAGTGCAGAGGGGAGGGAACACATTTTCCTGGTGGCAAAATGAGTTTTCAGTGTGCTTTGCAACCGTTGCACCCGCCAGCTATTGTGGTGTCCCCTTCCAATATCTCGCCCTCTTTACACGCATCCCAGCCAGGTTTAGCCAGATGCCACCTCAGGAAGGTTACTAGAGGGGACCGCCCGGTGACCTACAAAAACCTCGCGAGGAGGACACACCAGGGGCCCGCGGCGTCAGACAGGATGGGGTGGGGCGCTTTCGGCTCTTTGCCGTGACAACTGGCCCTCTTCTCTTCCTCCTGGCCCCCCCCCTCCCTCCCTGGTTTCCGCTCCACAGAAGGATTCCGATTGGAATCCTCCACAGCAACATCCGCAGGAGCTGACCCTTCACAGCAGGATTTCTATTGGAATCATCGACAGAAGGGTTCCTATTGAAATCCTTTCTATTGAAATCCCCAACAGCAGGATTCCGATTGAAATATTCTACAGATGGAGTCCTATTGATATCCTCTACAGAAGGAGTCCTACTGAAACCCTCCACAGCAGGATTCAGGATTCCTATTGGAATCCTCTACAGAAGAATTCCTATTGGAGTCCTCTACAGAAGCATTCCGATTGAAATCGTTTACAAAAAAAATCCGGTTGAACTCCCCGACAGAAGGATTCCTTGCCAAATCCTCAACAGAAGGACCCCTCTTAGAATCCTCCACAGCAGGATTTTTTGTTATTGAAATCCTTCACAGGAGTTGGAGCCCTCCGAAGCAAGACTTCTATTGAAATCCTCGACAGAAGGGTTCCTGTTAAAATCCTCCGCAGCAGGATTCCTATTGATAGCCGATAGCCTCTACAGAAGGATTCCTATTGAAATCCACTACAGAAGGACTCCTACCGAAACCCTCCACAACAGGATTCCTATTGGAATCCTCTTCACAAGGATTCCTGTTGAAATCCTTTTACAGAAGGAGTCCTGTTGACATCTTTTATACAAGGATTCCTATTGAACTCCTCCAAAGAAGGATTACGATTGCCCTGACAGACGGATTCCTTATCAAATCCTCCACAGAAGGGTTCCACTGGGAATCCTCCACAGAAGGATTTCTATGGAAATCCTCCACAGGAGTTGAAACACTCCACAGCAGGGTCCTTGTTGAAATCCTCGACACAAGGGTTCTTATTGAAACCCTCCACAGCAGGATTCCGATTGATAGCCTCTAAAGAAGGATTCCTATTGAAATCCTATACATAAGGAATCCGATTGAAACCCTCCACAGCAGGATTCCGATTGATAGCTTCTAAAGAAGGATTCCTATTGAAATCCTCTACATAAGGAATCCTATTGAAGCCCTCCACAGCGGGATTCCTATTGGAACCCTCTGCAGGAAGATTCCGATTGAAATCATTTGCATACGGATCCCTGTTGAACTCTTCCACAGAAGGATTTCGGTTCAACTCTTCCGCAGAAGGATTCCTGTTGAAATCCTTCAAAGGAAGGTTCCGATTGAAATCGTCCACAGCAGTTGAAACCCTCCACCGCAGAATTTCGATTGAAATCCTCGACAAGGGTTCCTACTGAAACCCTCCACAGCTATTGAAACTCTCCACATCAGAACTCCTATTGATAGCCCCTACCGAATAATTGGGTGATGGTGGGGCGCGCCTCCGCTCCACCTTCACGGCCTGGGTTGGCAAAGCCCTCCTCCTCGTCCTCCTCCTCCGTTTCCGCCTTCCTCCTTCCCCCTGCCCCTCTTCCTCCCCAGCTCCTCCGCCTCCTCCTCCTCCTCCTTCTCCTCCAACCCCCCCCCTCCTCCTGATCCTCCTCCTCCTACTCCCCCCCCGTTCACTTCCATCCCGTCGTAGGCGGAGGGGCTGGAAAACCAAAACAACACAAGGAATAACCAAACAAACCAAACAAGCCTAAAGTCGATTGTCCGGAAGCCTAAACAACAGAAGGAACAACCAAACAAAACAAACACAACAAATTAATATATATATATATATATATACACACACGTTGTGCGCCCCCATCACCCGCCCCTCACCAAATGCAAGTGTTGTTGTTGTTTTGTGTTTAGGGGGGGTGTTTGTTCAGCTGTCGAGCTTTTTTTTTTTTTTTTGTTCCGTGTTGTTCGTTCGCCCCTCGCCTGGATGCCACGCGCGTGGGCCCTCTTCAGACGAAGGGCAATGACAAGACACGGATGCAGATACGGCGGAGGAACAGGGATGAGGAGGAGGAAGAGGAGGGCAGAAAAAGGAACGAACCGAGCAAGGAAGGGGAGACGGGAACAGAGCGGCTCCATTTCAAACCCTTGGAGGGCCGAGCGCACCCCACCCCCATCCAGGCTGGTGCTGGGCCCGCACCACTGCACTTCGCCCGCGGGGTCTGCGTGGGGTGACCAGCCAACGGGCGCAGGCGGGCAAGCAACGCAGGAGCCTGGCTAGTCTGGCACCGCATGGGCTCTACTGGTAGGCGCCCGGCTCCTAGAGCTGGCGCTCCCAGAAAATGGTTGCTCGGCTACTGCGAGCAGGCGTGGCCCCTGGTAGGAACTTGCCCAAGCTGATGTGGGCTGAAAGCGTGCACGTCCGCTCCATGCGTGATAGTGGGCTTCAGGTTGGTTTGGAACAGCCGGTTACGGTGGCCAG